CTATAAGCCCTAAACCCTAAAGCCCTGAACCCTGAACCCTAAACCCTAAACCCTAAAACCCTAAAGCCCTAAACCCTAAACCCTATAAGCCCTAAACCCTAATCCCTGCACAGCGCAAACTGCACAGCCTGAGCTCTAAGCCCCGCAGACAACGTGCAAACAATGCCTACCTGGACCCTTTAGAACCTCCCTGTCAGGGTTCCTTATTCTGATTTCCTTATATATAAGTCCTTAAACAGGAAAATTCTTCGGGGTCAACTTAAATCCTAGCCCGATAGTCTTAAACCCGACCGTAAACACTAGCTGAAACATTAGGCTGTAGACCTCTACCTTCCATCTCAATCTAGGACAATTTCAGGTGGGTAGTTACCGTTATAGGAGCCTTATAGAAGCTCTATATACCTTCTGGAAGCCTTATAGAAGCCCTATATACCCTAAACTCCCCACCTGTAGTTTGCTTTAATTCAACCCTAAACCCGTTGAGCCTCCCAGGCCATCAAACTTGAATCCCACTTCCAAGCCCTACACTCGGACACTAGACAAACCTCGAACATCATCGCCCTGACTTTCGGGTTCAGGGCTTGGGGTTTAGGGTTTCGGATACTAGACAACCCTCAAACATCATCGCCCTCAGTTTAGGGTTTAGGGTTGAAAATTCTCCACCAGCTATCCTGCACGCTAACCGTCTGACCCCCCGCCACCCCAAGAAAATAAACTATGTCAGGCCAGCAGCGGTGAGTCAAAGGTCTTCTACCAGAAGATGAAGGCGGATTACTACCGCATCTCGGCCGTTGCGACAGAAAATCGAGCAACTAGGGTTTAGGGTTTAGGTGTCATTTGGACGCTACAGTGTTTTGGGTTTTTCCAGGTCTTTATAACGGCTAAAAAAAGATTGTACCGCTCCCAGTGGGCTCCTCAACATTTTTGGGTTTAGGGTTTAGGGGGCTTTAAGGGGCTGCTCCTGTACTGTTATCCACATGTTGTATAGGACCTGGGCTTGCTAAATGTGGCCTTAGGAGGTTGTTTTTTTGTTTCCACGGAGGCGGTGTTCTATAGAGTTTTATCACACATTTTAATTGTTCTGGGCTCTTTTCACTGCTGTCTTTAAACCCTTAAGCCCCCTAGACCTTAAAACCTAAACCTGAGGGTTCTTTCTGCATTGGGTTGAGGGTGTAGGGATATGCTTTTGCAGAGTTCAAGGGAGCTGGTCTCATCTCTACTCGTCGGAGTATTGAAGCGGCGTGGTTCGTGAGAGACCCCTTAAAGGGTACTCTTCTTAACCCTACTTATGGCTCTCTTAAAAGGGACCTTATTGAGAGGGTCTATATTTCCAAGGGTACCCCTAGTCCTCCCTAAACCCTGAACCCTAAACCCTAAACCCTAAACCGTTATATCTATTACTCAGACTA